CTGGTCATCCACTGCAAGAGTCACATCGGACAGCGGCGCCATTTCTGCGGGGACTGTGGCCGAGGCTTCGACTGGAAATCCCAACTGGTCATCCACAGGAAGAGCCACCGGCCGGAGACTCTGTGAGCGAGCAGGCTGACTCTATTTCTTGGGATGGATCCCCGAGAGATGAAGTCGCAGAGGGCGTCCAGATGAATCAGGAGTCCAAGGAGGGTGTCCTGCACCAGGCCCTGTCAGACCTGAAGAAAGGAAGTGTCTGCCTCCACTCCAGCTCCGGCCTCTGGCGTGAGGTCTGTTGCTGATGTTATGGGGTAACCGGAGTCCAACCCCCAGGGGGGACATGGTACCAACCAAAGAAGCTCAGAAACTGCCTTTCCCCGCCCCTGTGGGAGGTGGCTAAACTTAGGGCTGTGCCAAAGTCAGCAGAATCCCTGGAGACCGCAGGCTTGCTCTCTGTGACCTGTGGCTCTCATGGCCTTTAATGTGCATTTTAGATTGGGTAAACTCCACAGTCTGCTTTTAAAACCAGGAGTTTCTGGGTAAGAATCCTGATTTCTGACTTTTCTTGGAAGGTTGTAAAATCTGACAGTGCTCTCCTAGATGCTGGAGCGCCACAGAACTCCAGGGCCAGCCTCCACCGCAGACCCTTGTCCCCTTTCCCACGTGCCTTGTTGCTCATTGGTCTCACTGGCCTTGAGACCTGTTTCAGTAGACAGGGAGATCCTCTTCAAGATGTCCACCAAGAGGAAGGCCCAAGGGCATGAAGTTGTGGGCTAGGCCTGGATGAGGCCATCAGCACCTTTGGGTCAGGTCTGAGTTCCCATAGTCCAAGTGATAATCCAGATTATCCAGAATAGCCCCTCTCTCAGAATTCTTAGTCACGTCTGCAAATTGCCTTTTGCAAACTTACTCCTAGGTTTGATGGGTAATATTTTGTTGTCACCCTGGCAGGGCTGTGATTCTCGGTGGTTTGGTAAACATTGGACAGGTTGTTCTCCAAAATTTACTATCATTACCGCCACGATGAGATCTCACGTAATGTAATGACTTCTATATAATAAGCAGCCATATAGATGAAAGGGGAACTTTGGTTGGGGGTGTGGCCTGCCTCCAGTATATAAATGAATGGTTCCACGGAGACTCGCTCTTACTCTGGACCCCAAACCTGATTTGTCATCAACTGAACTTTTGTTTTGGGGACATGAACCTGAAACCTACCTTCTGACCTGATAGTTTTGAGTTCGGAAAAACCTCCAGCCTGATGCCTGGCCCATGGATTGGAGAATTGCCAGCTTCCATGAGCTATTTCTTTGAAGAATATTTATTCATTTCACTGGTTTTCCTCTTCTAGAGAACCCAACCCAAAATATTTGGTACCAAGGGTGATTCTAGAGGAACATAATCATCATAAGGCTAAGTTTTCTGAATTGGTTCTCAAGTCTGGCTAGTTTGAGAGGCATCGATGACTCTACCTTCCAAAGTAGAGGACACTGCTAATCCATGATACAACTGGTCAATAGTTGTTGTTGTTAGGTGCCGTAGAGTGGGTTTCAGCTCATAGTGACCCTCTGCACAACAGAACCAAACCCTGCCCCATCCTGCACCGTCCTCACCATTGTCGTTACATCTGAGCCCTTTGTTGCTGCCACTGTGACAGTCCATCTCATTGGCGTCTCCCCCTTTTTCACTGACCTTCCACTTTACCACACACAATGCCCTTCTCCAGAGACTGGTCTGTCCTGATAATATGTCTCAAGTATGAGAGACAAAGTCTGGCCATCTTGACTTGTCAGGAGCATTCTGCCTATACTTCTTCTGACATAGATATTTTATTTTTCTGATACTTTTAGTATTTTACTGCAATACCATAAGGAGCTCTGATAGCGTAGTGGTTACGAGTCAGGCTGCGAACCTCATAGTCAGCAGTTCGAAACTACCAGCTGTTCCACAGGAGAAAGATGAGGCTTCCTTTTCCCATAAAGATTTACAGCCTCGGAAACCCTGTACAGGGTTGCTATGAGTCGGAACCGACTCCACGGCACATAACAATAACAACTCCAATACCATAATTCAAATGTACCAAATTTTTCCACAATCTTTTTTATTCATTGTGGAACTTTCACATGCATATGAGGCAATTAAAAATACCATGGCTTGAGTCAGGCACACCTTAGTCCTCAAACTGCTACATTTGCTCTTGAACACTTTAAACTGGTCTTGTGCAGCACATTTGCCTAATGCAATCTGTCATTTGATTTCTTGACTGCTGATTCCATGAGTGTTGATTGTGGATTGGAGCAAAATGAAGTGTTTGGCAATGTCAATCTTTGTTCCATTTGTCATGATACTATGTTTCAGTCCTGCTTGCTACAGAAGCAGGTGCTTCAGTTTGGAGTCCTGGTGTGGCACTGTAGGATAAGCACTAGACCACAAGACTTGTTTGAACTGCAAGGTCGACGGTTCAAACTCACCAGCGGCTGGTTGGAAACCCTATACGGGGTTGCTATGAGTTGGAACCAACTTGACAGCACGTAACAACAACATTTGTTAGTCCAGTGGTGAGGATTTTTGTTTTCTTTACATTGAGGTGCAATCCATTCTGAACACTGTAGTCTTTGATCTTCATCAGTAAGTATTTTAAGTCCTCTTTGGCTTCTTGCAAGCAAGGTTGCATCATCTGCATATTGCAAGTTGTTAATGAGCCTTCCTCCAATCCCGATGCCATTTAATTCATCATCTCGGATTATTTGCTCAGATTGAATAATTATGGTGAAAAGATGCAACACTGACTCACCTTCCTGATTTTTTAAACTACTCAGTATACCCTTGTTGTGTTCGAATGACTGTCTTGTTCTACGTACAGGTTCCTCACGGGCAAAATTAAGTGTTCTGGAATAACCATTCTTCACAATGTTGTCCACAGTCTGTCATGATCCACCCAGTCAAAAGCCTTTGCATAGTCCATAAAGTACAAGTAAACATCTTTCTGGTATTTTCTACTTTCAGTGAAGATCCATTTGACACTAGCAATGATATCCTTTGTTCCATGTCCTCTTGTGAATCTGGTTGGAATTTATAGCAGTTTCCTGTCAACTGAAACTGCATTTGAATTATCAACAGCAAAATTTTACTTGCATGTGATATTAATGATATCATTCAATGATTTTGTACATGCTGTTGGGTCACCTCTCTTTGAAATGGTCACAATTATGGATCTCTTCCAATCAGTTGGCCAGGTAGCACTCCTCCAAATTTCATGGCATAGATGAGTGAGTGCTCCCAGTACTGCATCAGTTATTTGAAAGATTTCAGTTTGTATTCCATCAATTCCCAGAGCCTTGTTCTTTGCCAATGCCTTCAGTGCACCTTGGACTTCTTCCTTTAGTAACATTGGCTCTTGATCATATGCTACCTCTTCAAATGGTTGAGCATTGAACATTTCTTTTTAGGACAGTGACTGTGTATTCCTTCCATCTTCTTTCATGCTTTCAGCATCATAAAGGATTTTGCCCATAATCGTTCAATATTGCAACTCGAGACTTTAATTTTTTTCTTCAGTTCTCTCAGCTTGAGAAGTGCTGGTTGTATTCTTCCCTTTGGGTGTTCTAACTCCAGGTCTCTGCACGTGTCATTATAATACTTGACTTTGTCTTCTCAAGCTGCCTTTAAAATTTTTATATTTAGCTCTTTTATTTCCTCATTTCTTCCATTCACTTTAGCTTTTCAACGCTCCAGAGCAAGTTTGAGAGTCTCTTCTGACATCTATCTCGGTCATTTCTTTCTTTTTTGTCTGTTCGATATACTTTTGCTTTCTTTCTGTATAGTGTTCTTGATGTCATTCCACAAGTCTCCTGGTCTTTGCTCATTAGTGTCTAGTGCATTCAATCTTTTCTTGAGATGGTCTCTGAATTCAGGTGAAATATGTTCAAGGTCTTATTTTGGCTCTCATGGACTTGTTTTCATTTTCTTCAGCTTCAGCCTGAACTTGCATCTGAACAATTGATACCTTTTCCACAATTTGCCCATGACCTTGTTTTAGCTGATGATATGGAGCTTCTCCACCATCTCTTACCACAGATGCAGTCAGTTTGATTCCTGTATATTCCATCTTATGAGGTCCAGATGTATAGTCACCTTTTATGCTGTTTTGTTTTTTAAAGTTTTTGCAATGAATAAGTCGTTCGTCTTTTCCAGCTACTGATCCTTCCTCTTTGTTTCTAACCTTTGCAATTCAATCACTAGTAATTATCAATGCATTTTTATTCCTTGTTTGAGTAATTTCAGAGTGAAGAATTTGGTAGAATTCTTCAGTTTAATCCTCACTGCCTTTAGTGGTTGGTGTGTCCATTTGAACAGTAGTGTTATTAACTGGTCTTCCTTGTAGGCGTAGAGATAGTATCCTATCACAGACAGCATTGTACTTCAAGACAGATCTTGAAATGTTCTTTTTGACAATGAACTTGACACCATTTCTCTTCAATTTGTCATTCCTGGCCTAGTAAACCATATGGTTGTCTGATTCAAAATAGCCAATACCTGCCCATTTCAGCTCACCAATGTCCAGAATACTAATCTTTATGCGTTCCATTCCAATTTTCCTAGCTTCGTATTTTGTATGTTCCATGTTCTGATTATTAATGGATGTTTGCAGCTGTTTCTCCTCGTTTTTGAGTTGTGCCCCATCAGCGAATGAAGATTCTGAAAGCTTTACTCCATTCATTATTGTCTCCTGTACTTCCCTAGTGGTGTTTTGAGTGCCTTCCAGCCTGAGAGGCTCATCTTCTGGACCTAAATCTGACAGTGCTGCGTTGTTCTTTATAAGGGTTTCAGTGACTAATCATTCAGAAATAGTCTAGCTCCTCTTCTTCCTAGTCTCTAAGCTTCTCTGAAACCTGTCTGCCAAGGATGACCTTCCTGGTGTTTAAAATACCAGTAGTATCACTTCCAGCATCACAACAAAGCGAAAGCACCAGACAGACAGACTGACAGAGAAGTGGTAGGGGTCAGTAGAAATAACTCAGACTATCACTACTTACAGGTCACAAATCTGCAAGAGGCAAAAGTTCTGGGTAATTGCATGTTTGAGGTTTTTCTACAATGCTATCAGAATGAGCAGTATAAGGAAGCTGAAATTAAAGGATGAGCTCAAGGCTTCAGGGAGCATCATATCTCGAGTGCTGCATGAAAGTCGTACCCTGGAAGACAGTCTTATGTCTTGTACAAAAGCAGTGATCGTGCCTAAAGGGAAACAATGCAGTGTAACTAGATTATACAACCAATTTAATTTCCA